AGGGGGGAGGGGGCCCGTGGCCGGGCTCCGTGGTAGAGTGCGGCAGCCCCATCCCAGGGCTGGGGGGTGCCAGAAGCCTCCCCTCCTCTTCCAGCCTACGCTAGAGTTGGACACGCTGCCACTGCCTGCATGAGATGGAGCCACCACGCTCTGCCCCTGTCAGGACGGGAACAGCTAGGGTCCCTCTGGCAGTGCTGGGGAGTGCAGGGGGTTTCGGGTCATGAGTGAAGGGCACCGGCAGGGCTGGGGGAGCAGAGGGGCTGCAGGTTGAGAGTGAGGGGCACTGGCAACAGGGGTCTGCTCAAGGTATGTAACCTTGTCCTTTTCACAGGCCTGTCATCAACAGGAAGCTGGAGTTTGGCTACCAACACCCGCCACGGGTACAAAGAGTGCAGAAGCAGGCAGCAGGTGTGGCCGGAGGCAATCAGGGGCCCCATGACCAGAGAGCAGACTGAGCTTAAACTCCAGAGAGCTCCTTTCCCCAGCAGTAAGATCCTGGAAGTGCCCCAGGGCACCTACAAACCTTATCAGCTAATTATGTGGCTCCATCCACCCCATGCCCTGTCCCATGCCTTGCAGATATCATTGTACCATCACTCTCTTTGGGGCTTCAGCCTTCTCAGCCCCCACCTCACCTTCTAGCCCTGGCCCACTGTATTGGACCTGACTTCAAGACACCGGCTTTAGTCTTGCCCTCTTGAGTGCCAGGCCCTTGGCCCCTGTTTGCTGCCCTCTCGAGCACCGAGCTCCTCTGCACTGCTCTGGGCTTTGAGGCCTCATGCTCAGCCCTGCTCCAGGTTCTGCACTCACTCTGCCTTGAGACAGCTCTCCAACAGCACTCAAGGGGACCACGTGCCCTAGGGTACCAATGGGACCTCCAAAGACCACCCCTACCAGTCCCAATCCAAACACCAGTATAATTAAACAATTAGTCAGCCCTCTGGCTACAAAACAAATCTTCCTTCCTGGGCAAAGAAATACTATACAAGGGAAAGCATGCTACAGCTTTCAGAAGAAAACTTCTCCCTGCACTCAGAAGAGCCCACACTCTGGAAGCAGCCTCTACTCTGGGCCCTCACTGCTGTGCTGTGGCTCAGGGCCCCTCAGGTAGCTCCCCTCCCCGCGAGCGGCCCAGGGTCTGACTGCTGGGGAGAGGAGCTCCCTGGAGTCTAAGCCCTGCCTGCTCCCTGGTTATGTGGCCCCTGATTGCCTCTGGCCACACCTGCTTCTCTGACTTAAAGTAGCAGGAGTACCAAGTCTCCTGCTACAGTTTATAATGCTGGACAGAGGGTGGAGGAATAGTGCAAGTTGCCAGAGCACTCTGGCCCCCTTTGCTGGTGCACTAATCCCACGTCTGTGACACCCTGGCATTCCTCCATGAGTGCCTATTTTTTTTTCGGGGCGGGGAGAGGGGGTAGAGAGAAAGAGCTGTGCTAGGTCTGGTGGACTTCCCTCATGTCTGTATTAGTCAGGTTTGCACCAGCTGCCCTGATACTAACCCTTCTGAAATGGAGGAGCTCCAATCTGGACCTAGATTATAATTCAAAATTCTCTCTCAAATGATTCAGAGCAGGCTGCAGGGCACCCACAGCCCACTCCTGCCTTTCCCTGAGCAGTGGTGA